CAGGAACTTAAGGAAATAACATTCCCAATACTAGATGAGCCATAAACAGCAAGCATACCTAGCAGTTGTAATTACATCAGCAGATTCGGCACATTCGCGATAGAAAAGCCGTAACATGTTATTACAGCTGATGTTTCCAACATCTAAAAGCAATATAATCATTATCGAGCATTGCATTGCCAATGCAGATGTGAGCGTGACTGAAAGTGTAACTCGGATTGCGCTTTAAAAACACGAAAGTACAATAGATTCACATTCTTAGACTACATTAGTGTCACTATTGTCTTTGACAGTCTGTCCTTCAGTGAAGAAGCAGTCTTTTCATAGAGAGCATCTATTCTTGCCGTGACTGTTTTGCAGTGATGGAATGTCGTACTCGGGCTCAACGTAATGCATGAAATCTTGAAATCCTTCTCCGTCGACGAAACTAATGGGCAGCAAATCTTTCACCACCATTTCAGCGATTAGCTGTGTCATCTTCTCGGTTCTGCCTGCGTTGCATTTTGGTCTTACGGCAAATGATGCAATGCTCGTCTGAGTTGCCGCTCTGTTATCGCCAGACATTTTATGTACAAATGTTAGATGATAGCGCATTGTACTTGTTGTAGATTTGTTTTTGACCTCCAAAATCTTTTACAGTGTGGTAAACTCTTATGATATGGTCTTTTTTATAACATAATTCAAGACTTTCTTTCTAATTATTAGTGATACAAATAACTGCCCCGTTAAGATGAAGCAGCCCAATCTGTTGAACAAAAAAATATGTTTGTCTTGAAAACACAAAATAGACTGCACCGCAGCTGCAGCAACACTGCAACAATAACAATAATAATAATAATAAACTTTCTTCTATGATCACCAAATGTAAATGCTTAACTTTATGTAATCTTGAGCAATTTTTGCTTCTCAAAAAGTATTTATTATAACATAATATTAATATATCATGATACATTTTTTTCTTTTTCCTAAAAAAAAAACAAGACCAAAATACTGATTAAAAAAAGAAAACAAAATATTCCCTGCAATCAAAGACTCAGTACTTTCAAACTCAGCTTATGTGACTGGAATGGTTATGCACACAGTGCGGCTTAATTTTCACAGACTTGTTTTCTTTGTGTAAATCCACCCTATGATCACAAACCATGTAAACCTCATAAAACAAGCATGAAGAATAATAAATACAAATTTTTTTTTTTTGATCTCACTTTGCTGAGTTAAATAACACTTTCTTGCTGATTTTAAAGTATTGTTGTCGAGTTAAAATTCCCCTGCCTTTTCAAACAAACAGTTCCCTGCGTGAAATCACAGATCCATCCATGTGAAACACGTAGTCGCTGTCTGTGCCATTGTAGCACTTTTCCTGCAGGTAAGGGGAGCCATTGTGTAGCAGTGGCCCACTGGGGTTCATGTTATGAGGGTTGTGGTGGTCGGAGTAATGCGTTCCTTCTCTCTGAAGGCTGAGTTTGTCTCCACAGCCCTCCATGTCTTTGTGGTCATTGGGATAATTGGGATTGATAATGTCTCCTTTGGGTTTGAGCTTCAAGGCTTCCGAGTCATCTCCATAAACGTCCTGAAGTTCATGGGGTTGAAGGACGTGCAGTTGCGACTCTTTTTGCATGTCGGATGGGCAGGTGTACTGTTTGGTGTAGTAGACTCCTCTGAATGTGTGACATTGACGCAGGTAGAAAGCCCTCGCCAGCGCCATCAGCAACACCAGCATCAGGAACCCATCGACAGCAGCGCCTACGATAGTGCCCAGGCTGCTGTCCAGCGGAGAGGCCTGGGTTGGTTCTGTGGAGTGGGCACATTGGTTTATGGGAGCTGTGATGGTTAAGCTTGTGTCAGGCAGGATGGTCTTGGTGGTGATCGTGGTGGTGTGGGCTGCAGCGGTCAGTGGCAACTCTGAGAGGGCAAGATATAGACAAATATTAAATATAGGCAGATATATAATTAAAGACAAATTGTGAAGAACATGCACTGATATTAATATTCTGGCTGGTACTGATTATCTGATATTAAAATGTAAACTATTAAAACAAAATAAATGTAATCAAAAACATTAAATTAAGCAGAGTTATTATATGGGATTAAGTTTATTTCTCATACCCTACTAGCAATTCTTTTTTTTTTCTTCTTTTTTTTACATATACCCCAGAAATATAATAATATATAATAACATATATTAATAATAATATTCACCAATATTAAAACTCTGTATGGTACTGACAAGCTGATATTGAAATATATACTATTTTACCTAAATAATAATAAATGTAGGTACATCGCACTTTTCACAATACACAGCATTACAAAACAGCTTTACAGAAAATAATGATTTATACTTATACATCTACATTCATTTTCAACTTTAAATGCTAGATGTAAAAAAAAAAAACATTCTAAATGTACAAATAGGGGAAATGAACCTGAACAATTAAATATCCAGTAGTGACTGCATCTTTAATATTAAATGATGACCAATATTGTGTATTATTTCGTCATAAAATAACCTGGGGAAAAAAGAAAGTCAGCAGATGCTATGAGGTCCAAGGGAAAATAATGTTTAGAGGCAGGTGGTTATTTAAAGGTTATTTCTCAAGATAAAAGGACAGATCTCGCAATGACTAATAGGAAAAACAAAATCTGGCTGATGTAACAGCAGGTTCAGGCAACACAGGGCACAATTATTTGAATTTGGAGGCCTGTGGAGACACTGTAAGAATGAACAAGTCTTCAAGACTGGTACATCAATCTTTTGACATTAAAAAGAAAGGATGTTAAAAATATTGCTCTTTTAGCTGGTATAAAATAACTATTTGGAGTATCCATTTCCTGTATGGGACGTCAACTAGGGACAACTGTTCACAAAGATATACTCACCCATAATGTCCACAGTTGTGGATGCTTGCATGATTCCAAGTTGGAAGGTGACCACTTTACAAGTACAGGTCCCAGTGTCTGCAAATCCCACACTCTGCAGGACCATGGATACATCATGCACTGAGGGCTTGATGAAGTGCACCCGTTTGCTGTACTCATCAGCTATGGAGGTCCCATATTGGGGGTTGAAGACGGCCAAAGTGATGGTGCCGGAGGGCAGCTGGCGTTCCCAGGACGTCTGGGTCAGACTGAGGTTTGTGCTGACCTCCCCCCTGCAGGTCAAAGTAATGCTTTTCCCCAGCACTTCAGTCACCTGCTCAGGAACTACAACCTTGTTGGCCCACACACCTGGACAGATACATGTCATCAGAAATAAGATCAGATACAAGAAATAGATTAACAGTGGCCAAGTTTCCATTAAACACAAGAAATGCAATAGAAGAACCATTTTGGTTCCCCAAGGAACCTTTCAGTGAACAGTTCAACCATTTTTTTCTTAGTGTGAAGGACATTTTAATAATCTAAAGAACCTTTTTCCACTATAAAGAACCTTTTGTAGAACGGAAAGTTTTCATGAATGTTAAAGGTTCTTCATGGAATCGTCAATGCCAATAAAGGACCTTTATTGTCAAGAGTGAATTGTTTTATATTTAAATTTGTTTGGGGTCTAGAACATCAAATTGTTTAAGATTACCCGAGGGAAATGCTACTTATCTATAAATTGTTGCCAGTGTCGACAAAATCTGAGAATGTCGATATATTTTAAATGTTGCAAAAAATCTATTTTAAAACATTCTTGAATGACTCGCCGAATTCAAGACTAAATGTTGTTCAAATACTGCAGAAAATGCTAGAAGGAACATCTCACAGAAATCTCTTTACATTACACTGTGAATCAGTTTAAAACGCTATATGCTCTTAACCAGTTCCACCTGTCTAATCTTGTTGACATCACTTCCATCAGGAGAACCCTTGAAAGGTCATAAATGAAGCACAGTAGTGGGAGATAATGTTTTCCCTAGCCTTAATTACACCCCATGCGGGAAGCGTTCCTTGTCAACTCCAGCAGGCTGGGAGTGCTGTGCCACACAGCCCATGCTTCACATCCATAATGAGCACCATACAGACCCCTGCACTTCCACGGGATACCCCGGCTGTCCTCTCTGTTAACCGTCTGAGCACCTTGACTAATAAAAGCCGCTGGAACAAGATGAAAAATGCCAACAGCTAATTATTTTTATTTTTTTACTGTTTAATAGGTCTCTTCAATCTGCACCTGTGCCCTTTGCATGTTTATTTGAACATACTGGAGTTATTTGCTGATTCATGTAAACAAAATATTCTGGCGAACTGGCAGGTAAGGTTACAATGGAAGAGATTGATTTAAAAAAAAAAAAGGTGTTGGGAAAGAAGGAGATCAGACAGGGTCCAAATGTCACAGTGTCTGGTTGTGGTGCCCTGGACTGGCCACTTGAGGGCACTCTCCTGTTTTTGTGTTATATGTTGTGAACTCCATTTCCCATAGTCCCTTGTCTGTCA